CCATTCCTTATAAATAATGGAGCAGAGGCCCCGCAGGGGCCGAGGCCAATTATTTTTAAGGAATGGAGAGTTACGAGGATATTCCCCTACTTAAAACTCATCCCTACTTTTACACTTTGACAAAATATTCTGTAGTTGAAAATATTTAAAAAATTCAAATGCTGCTTCAAGATAATGTACAGTTGACATTACTCTCCATTCCTGAATAATAATGGAGCGTTCAAACAATAGAATGACGTCACAGATGTGTTTTAATGCTGCAGAAACTGCTCGACAGACCATGGGGACACACCAGCGACACATTAGTGCGGACACCGTGCGTCGACGATTGACGAGCAGACACCTCCACTGTCACAGGCCTCACCGAGGACCCATTCTGACACGTCATCACCGGGACCGTCTTCAGTGGGCAACACAGCATAAGAATTGGCGCCTCCAGCAGTGGAGAAGAGTCCTCTTCTCAGACGAAAGCCGTTCCTGTATCTCAACAGCAGATGGCAGAGAAAGAGTCTGGCGACGCCGTGGAGAACGTTTTTCGGATGCTTGTGTTGTTGAGAGAGACTCGTGGGGTGGTCCAAACATCATGGTGTGGGGTGGAATTGGTCTTGCATAGAGGGCTGGCCCTGTGGTCTTCCAGAACATCGGTCCTGGGAGAGGCAAGGGTGTCACAGAAGTTAGGTACATTGATCAAGTCTTGAGACCACACGCCATACCTCATTTGGCACGTCGCCGCAACCACCGCGAGAGCAACAAGAGACTTCCACCAGTAGAACGGCATCAGAGCCATGCAGTGGCCTGCCCTCAGTCCCAATTTTAAATCCCATTGGGCACCTGTGGGACGAGATTCAAAGACGGCTGAATGACGTCCGACCAAGGTCGACAACTGCAGCTGAACTGCGTCAGGCGTTCCTCAGAGTGTGGGATCAAGTGCCTATAGCCTTCATCAGTCGCCTCATCCATTCCATGTATCGACGTTGCACGGCAGTCATCAATGCACATGGCGGACACATGAGAAACTGACAAGTGTTTTGTTTCACTTTAAGAACATTTGACACTTAAATTTCAACCTTGATAATCAGTTTTGCCAAGTTTCATCATTTGAGTATGTCTCAAAGTATGTGTACAGTGTTCGGACAAATGAGGTTTCTCATGTTCCTTTGACATTGAAAAAGATTTAATGCAAAGTTATGTTTTTTACCAAATCTGAAACAATTTCAGAGACTCCTGTAAGTGTTCATATGGTTTAATGTGCCATACTGACTTCAGAAAATGCGTGATTTAATATTTATTTATTTATTTATTTATGTATAACAAATCAATAGCGTGTGTATCCACCTCTGGTTGCGATGCAAGCAACACATCTTCGTCTCATGGAATGGAGCAGGCGCCGCACAAAGTCCTGTGGGATATCTGTCCATATCTGCTGGAGCATGTTTCGAAGTTCCTGGAGTGTCTGTGGAACACGTGGTTGACGTCGAAGGCGCCGATCCATCTCATACCACATGTGCTCGATTGGTGAGAGATCAGGGGAGCAAGCTGGCCAGGGGATGACAATCACGTTGTTTTGTTGAAGAGAATCCTGAACAAGTCGAGCAATATGAGGCCGGGCGTTGTCATGTTGAAAGGTAATGCCTGGGCCATGCCGACGCAAAAACGGTAGAAGAACAGGGCCGATAATCTCGTCACGGTAGCGCTGTCCATTGAGATTTCCCTCTACCACTATCAAACGGATCCTCTGTCTTGCTGTAATCCCACGGCATACCATAACGCTGCTGCCCCCTAACCGATCTTCTTCCATGACACAATGATTGACGTAACGTTCACCTCGTCGCCGGTACACTCGAATCTGTCCATCGCTGTTGCTGAGGTGAAAACGAGACTCGTCAGTGAATAGAACTTGTCCCCACTGCATGGCCGTCCATCGTAGACGCTGTCTGCACCACTGTAGACGTGCTTGACGGTGGTTTCCTGTCAAAATGGGACGTCTGGCGGGTCTTCTGACGACAATCCCTGCACATCTGAGGCAATAACGTACAGTTTGTGAAGATATTCGTCGAAGGCCAGGATGCTTCTTGCAGTCACTGTTGCTGGCTGGAATCGATTTCGTAGGCGTGTTGTTCGAAACCAGTTGTCTTGTCGATTATTGCTTACGAGTGGCCTGCCACTCTGAGCATGGTCTCTGACTGCATTCGTCTGTTGCCAACGTTGCCATAAACACCAAATGGTGTTTCTGTGGACGTTAAATTGTCTTGCAACATCACGTTGACTCGATCCTGCTTCAAGCATACCAATGGCTCGCAGACGCTCATTTTCGTACAGGCGTGGCATTTCGTAATGTTGAGTGAGTGAGTGAGTTGGGTTTAACACCGCTTTTAACAGTATTCCAGTTATATCGCGGCGTGTCAGCTTAATGTGGGAGGAAAGCCCGAAGTGATACAGGTCTCAGACGTATACCACTTCGGTGAGACCCACGAGCACGGGTATAGTGCTGACAAAACCTTGAAACATAATCGTAATGTTGAATGATTGCGTAATTTTGTTGTTTTTTAGTGGTTGTTGTCAGCACAATGCCAAACAATAGATGTACTACAATATTGAAAAACAAACTTTACTTGTTTGAAAAATACGCTAAAAAAAATATTGGTGTCACAGGAACTTTTGTTGTTGAGTATATATCTATCCATTGTGACGTTTCTTTTGCAGTTCAGTATATATTACTACTTGCAAAACTAATTATGGATAGCTGACTTCTATCCGACTTCTATAATGAGGACATCTGTTGAAAATCTGAATATTCTGTTGTTGTGATGACAAGCCACATTACAGGTATTAGGCAGTGGTGTAATTGGGGTTGAGTATTCACAAAGAATTGTTTCCAAAATTTGATTTACCGAATGCAACATTATGACAGAAGAGAATGACCCTCTGATCAGAAGGGGTCACACATGGGATACATGCCTGGGACTTTAGCTGAAGAAGTTTCTCACTGCTGGCACACTATACATTATCAGTGAAAGTAGGTTCTTTTTCAGGGATGGCTTCATTAAACTATTACACAGGGGATAATTACTGCTGATCATCTGTGGTAATAAGTAATCAATAAAACACTGAACAGATTGACTGAATAGATTTATCATATTCATTTCATGGCAGGACAGAGAAGAAAAATAAGTGTCCGTTCTTCAGTAACCATCTATACTCACACACAAAAGAAACCCAAGTCGAGTATGCAGTATACATGTTATTTATTTTCAACAGTAAAGACAAGAAATACTAATAGGGCAAGATTGACAAAAAATTGACTGAAGACAGTTTAATGGATTAAAAGGCAGATGACATAATTGTTTTTTTCAAATGTTAAGGGCTTACACAGTTTCGGGTCAATACCCAAAATGTCAGTCAATACCTGGTGTGACCCCCACTAGCATTGATCACTGCCACACATCTCCTGTACATTGAGTGGATCACACGATTTGTGAAGGCCCTAGGGATCCTCCTGCACACACCCAGAGCAGCTGTTCGTAGTTCATCGGCAGTTGTGGGGACTGGGCCCACATTGTGCAGACGCCTTTGAACCTCATCCCACAAGTGTTCGATGGGGTTGAGATCAGGGCTGAGGGCTGGCCACGGTAGAACACGGATGTTGTGTCATTGCAGAAAGGCCATGGTAGCTCTGGCAACATGGGGATGAGCGTTGTCCTGCTGGAAAATGTGTTGTTGACGTTGTGCAAAAAATGCAACAACGTGGGGTCTGATCACTTGGTCGATGTACCGCTGAGCAGTGACGCCGTGTCCCCGACTTTGACCAACATTCAGAAAGCACAAGGTTCCAAGTCTCGCATCAAGTCCAATCCCTGCCCATATCATGACGCTAGGTCCACCCCATGGATCCCTTTCCACAACGTGTCTGTCAGCGAATCGATCACCTCGACGCCGCCAAATTATGACTCTTCCGTCTGCATGGGAGACACAAAAGCGACTTTCATCAGAGAAGATGACACGCCTCCACTCACGATGACGCCAATTGCGATGACAATGTGCCCACTGAAGTCGTGCTTGTCGATGCCGTGGTTGGAGAACAGGACGACGTGCTGGTCGGCGACATCCGAGGTTGTTGGAACGGAGACGTCGGATCACAGAGTCCGGGCTCATGTGTCGATTATGTGTTCCTATGGTCTGTCGATCACTTTCACTTGCAGTTAGGAACGGATGTCGCTGGTGTTGACGGGTAATCTGCCGATCTTGTTGAGGTGTGGTGACCCTAGGACGACCGCTCCGAGGAAGGTGATCTGTGGTCTGTGTAGCATTGTATCGATGCAGGATACGCTAAATTGTGGTTATGTTAACGTTGAAATGACGGGCAACATCTTGGACAGACACTCTAGCTTCCAAACGTCCGATAGCCTGGTTTCTCTGAATTTGAGTTAGGCGTGGCATTGTTGACCAAGGGGTTGTAGGTCCAAGAATCGGCCACAGTTTTATACCCACTACAGTTCGTGCATTTTCGATTTAGCGAGAAATTGGTGCATGTTACCCACATATTCATTGAAATGGTGCGTTATGGCAATTCGTTTTTTATGTTGCGTTTTTACTCGGACTTCCAAATTGCAACTAAAAATAGTGATAGCACCATCAGGCTTCACTACATGCTAAAACTCGTATCAAATTATGGTTCCGTGTGTGTTACCTATTTGCTTAAAACCACTTGCATTTCTTTTGCGTGTGAGTATATTTTAGAGAATAAACAAGGCCTACAACATTATCAAATAATAGAAAATAGATTCTTTATCTCCAAATACATGAAGATAACAAATGCCTAATCAAGAAAACTATTTCCCTACTGTCAGTGGATACTTACAAAATATAACTGCAGCACAGCTGAGATAATTATCACACCCAGGGTAGTCAAGCATTGCTTCACCTCATTGCGAACTGAAGCCATGACATTGTGTTATACTACCTGCCTTCAAAGAGTGCATAAAATACTGAACAAAAGCAAATTCATGATTTTATTCATTTATTCATTCATATATTATTGTATGCAAAGCAGAAGCAGCTTTTGGTAGTAACATTATGTTGATGCGATATCAGTAACATGCAACCTGATGATCTTGATTATACATGTATTTGTACTCTCTGGGATCTTCCCTGAAAAAGTAAGTAGCACCAGAATTTGTAGACTGACTATTCACATTAACTCTCTGCATAACATTAATAGACCAAAGTAAAACTTTGTCATCATTGGTATTTACAAAATAACCATGTCCATTCAGAATATCACAAAATATGAACATATTTCTTTGTCTCTTTGTAGACATCCAGACATTTTACACATAATGAGTGTCAAATAAATTATTCCCATAAAGTCTTTGCACAAAGTGTGTGCACCTATGAGTGTGATTCTTCAATGACAGGTTCCTGTCTTTCCTTCACAAGCACTATTGCTTAGATTTTCTTGTACAATTTTGTGTCATATGATCATGGTAATGGCATCAGTTCATATAAAAGAAACAACCGCAACAATCTTAATCGAAGAAGACCATCAATTCTTGTGTATAATGCGTACTTTGGTAAAAAATAATGATAATACAGAGAGGCGCATAATACGTTTTTATCCCTAACGCAAAGACATTAGCCTACCCTGAGCATGTAACACTGGAAATACCACGCGAACAAATTTGTACTGAACTACACAGTTTATCATATTTGTTATAGTTTGACTATTACATCAACATATTGTTTTCGTGATCGAAATAGCAAGACCGTGGAAAGCCTCAAAGGGTGACTCGTCCTACTGTTCTATACATAAAATGTATCCGTCAATAGACCAAAGTGCTACCGGTAGATCTGGGAGAAAGTGTGTGTACAGCCAATAGCTATTTCTGGATTAGTTTACACATGGTAATCTTAATCTCTGCATATAAAGCAGTGCCTAAAAGAAAGGAAATACAATTGAAATGGTAAATCCTCATGTCTAGTGATGTTTTATCTGAGTGAGTGAGTGAGTATGGTTTTACGCCGCTTTTAGCAATATTCCAGCAATATCGCGGTGGGGGGACACCAGAATTGGGGTTCACACATTGTACCCATGTCGGGAATCGAACCCGGGTCTTCGGCGTGACGAGCGAACGCTTTAACCACTAGGCTACCCGACCACCCCAATGTTTTATCTGAAATTTCACATTTTCATTTGCAGCTGACATGGTTTCACTACCCTTCATGCAGATACTGTTCTACAGACAGGTTATAGGCAAACTTGTAATCAAAATGATTCAGATAACCTTATACATCTATATCAACATTAGGACTCTACAGCCAACATATGCAAATCACATAAAACATCCTAATCTTGGAATCTTTGATTGACATTAGTGCAAAATAAACATAACCTGACAGTTTCGATACACTTTTCTCTGACTTATAATGGCTCAACTTTCCATTTTTGGACCATTACGATCTGATAGACGTCTGATAGAGAGACTATTTGAACATCTAACAATCTGAAACAAAACTACTGCTTGACTTGGAGAAGATGACACCTCAGAAATTTGAGGGAACAGAATTGGATGACCTTTCTGGTACAGCCAAGAATAAATTCTACAGCCATACTACTACTGTTACATTAATGAAGGGCAACAGCCTGTTAACAAAAGCTCACACAAACATTCCTTCCTGGGATGTAAAATTGAGCAGGATTCTATTGAAGAGAAACTTCTTACTACAACATTTCAGCTTCAACCCATTAGTAACATGCTAACTAAAAGTCAGTATGGAAGCTACTCAGTTCTTGCCTACATTAACTTTCCTCATGATGCAACATTGTGATTTGTTTCACATTAAAAATATATGCAGGTTTCAATCTTATCAAGAACTGGCTTGACAAACTGTACCAAGGTGTGAAAACCCTCCTGAGAACAAAGCAATTTCATTAAGCTCCTCAACAGCTTCGTAACAAAAATGTGAATGTTTATATTTTTTTTTATCTTGTGTTAATTCAGCTTTCAAGATGACACACTCCTAAAATATTTTTGCTGTCCTGTGTACAAGTGTCATAATTGTATTATCAACTTGATTCCTCAGTCAAACCCTTGTTCACACGGATCACACATAAAACTCAGTTGTGAGCATGCAGCTTGAGGATGAAATAAATAAATACATCAGTTGCCAAAGCAACAGTTAGATTAATAGTTGTCATATTTACAGACAAAGAAATACTAGAAACACACCCAGTTTTCCTTCAGACAGACTTAACTTCATTTTGTCAAACCATTACCATGTTAATACTTTTTGCCCAAAATGGGAAATAAATCTGGCCCTAACATTGAATGAGAACTCTTCAAACGTGAAGTATTAGGATTAAAAAAGAATCTTATTCCTTTTCTCTTATTTTTTCCGCTGCCCAAAGTAGGGAGACTTGTGATTCACCACAAAAAAGGTTGGCAAAGTTTGAAACAATACTTGCTATTTCTGAACTTTGAAAGGCATTTTAGACTGTCAGCCATTGAACATATCTTACCTAAGATAATTAGGCATCAATGAAGCCTAAATATGAAAAAAGAAGACATAGACATAATTGTCACTGCTAGAAAGCATACAATACATAAATACATTTTGGATGGATTCCCTACATGTCCTTGGTTTCTGACCAGTGTTGTTGTACAAAAAAAATCTTTCTGCAATGGAAGACAATAATTGAAGCTAAATGGTTCAGTACTCAACACAGCTACAAGGAAGAAGCTTGTGAAATGACAACTTTCAGGTTATGAGCTGCCTTTGACACTTCAACTACACGGTCAACCATTTCCTGAACTGCAGGCACTGAAGGATACTGAAGGGCTGCTAGCTTTGTAGCACTAACAGATTGTTTTAAACAGTCACACAGTTGATTAGCACATTTCATAATTTTGTTTTTCACAATGGTATGCATAATGTTTCTATGGAGTGTGTCACCAATGTAAACAAGTTTATGAGCAGACACTATCACAAATTTGCTGTGGGAAATAAATACTTTGGGAGGTTCATTGCTTTCAACACAGCAAAAAAAGGCATCTAAGGCATTTGATAGAAGGGTGGAATGCGTTTCCATCTGTCCAGAATAGAAAACTAACACTTGTTTGTCATTTGGATCCAGTTGCTCAGTTTCCATATTGACTGCTTCCTCTTTATCTAATAGAAACATATCACTGTCTGTGTTCACATTCACAGGGGTTTTAACATCCTGTTCAAGTAAATTGTCAATGTCAAATGAAGCATTATCAATGACATCTTGCTTTGAGTTGTCAAGTTCCTCCAAATCGGCTTCAAGTTTCAACTCGTATGGATCCTCACTGCTGTCTTTACTATGTTCATGTTCTGATTCAGAAGGTGATCCATCCTTTTCAAAATTCTGAACCCTTTCCTCCTTTGCTTTCAATTGAGCAGCAATATCTCTTGATTCTAAGTGAACATAGTCATATTCTCTAACCCATTCATTTGAATCATTGGCATAAATGTCCTCTTTCTCAGCATCTTCATTTACAAAGTTATCTCCCTTTTCCTGAAATCTCAGACGCAAAGAGTTCATTTGATCTTCAATCGGAGTTGGTGGAAGGGGTCTTTCCAATGTGGGTGGGGGTGGCAATGGGCGTTGTTGAACCATCTTAGCCCTCTGTTTACTTCCTGCTTCTGATTTTGGTCCAATTGGAGGTTTGGCAGCAGCTGAGTCCTCAGATGAGATGATTACCTCTGCGGTCCTATTAAGATCTTGAGTTCTTGGGAACAATAATGTTGAGTTGCCTTGTATTAGAGAGGCAAGTTTTCTTGCATTGCTACTTAAATCTTTGCATAAAGTTGCAATCTGTCCTAAATCATCAGACTTAGATGAATCCAAAGGCTCAGCTAAAATGTCAGTCTGCCACTTTACTTCATCCAGATTTTTAAGTGCACTTGAAATGAGCTGATAACTATTTTGCAAAGGATTCAGTTGCTTGTACAGTTTGTTCACCAATTTCCTGTCTGGTAGCTTACTGGCATTAGCTAATGTACCTTGTGAAAACTTAATATATTCAGCAAGAGAGCTCTTGACCCCAGTTACAGCAATTTTGATTTCATACAGTTTAGTCTGTAAACTTTCCTTCTTTCGCCATGTGCTGCTTACAAATCCTAAAAACTTGCTTGCAGTTTTCTGTATATCCTGCTGTAACCTTGTCAAGAATTCTAGTGCTGCATCCATTTCAAGTGGCAATTCATCATAAGTGGGAATCTCTGTAAAAGATCCCCTTGAATCAATGCTACAAGTGGACAATCTCTGACCCTCTTCTGATGAATCAGAACGAGCTGAAATAACTGAATCCCTAGTAACTTGCGGAGGAATATCATAAACACAAACAGGTTCATTTGGCATCACTGGTGAATCCATGGATGAAATAAACGAGACCTTCCCACCACAAGTTTTCATTTGAACTCGAGGGGCATTGTTTTTAGGAATATCATAAACATCATCAATGGCATGCTCCTTGCTTTTGTTTTTCTCAGTATGGTGTTGATGTAATGAAGTTACCTTGGGTACCCCAAAGTCTATTTTCTTTCCTTTGGGGAAATCATAATCTTCAATAACAGAAGCTGGTGAAGCTAGTTTGGCTTTTGGTGGTGTATCATAAACATCCAGGCCTGAATCAGTAGACAACTGCTTTGCATTATGTGTGGATCTTGGTGGAGTGTCATACAGCTCCTGAGAAGAAACATCCAAACTTGAGCGGGCTGAGTCACATATGCTAGGAGCAGTGGAAGATCTGTGTGAGCTTACATTTGATGTACTGCTAGCTGCTGTAAGTGAGGAATCATTGGATGCATTTGAAAGGATGCTTGAGCGGTTAGAATGATTGTCAGTACTGGTCTTAATAAGGAATTGTGGAACATCATACATGTTGTCTTCATTGCCAGCTACTTGATGCATTGACTGTGGAGTATCATAGAATGATGATTCAAGATTGTTGTGCTGCATATTTTGATTACTATCATTTGATAGCCGCTTTAATGATGATGGGTTTGTATTTGGTAGCTGCATTTCAGACATCTTAAGCTGTTCCTTTGGGAAGTGTCTTGAAGGTGGTACATCATAATCTTGTAGACTTCTGTTAGGTTCATCATACAAATCCAAGGATGTTGATGTTTTTTCCATACTGCTGACAGGCTGAAATTACAAAACAGAAGTCCAAATCAAAGTATATCCATTGCTTGAAATGTATTGACACATATAACATGTAAAACAAACTCAACCATATAAAGTCAAATGTTTCTGTCGATCGCCTGTACTTAGTGTTACTGAAAAATAAATCATGTCATATCATGTAATATCATCATCTTATGAATAATTAGAAAATAATATTACAATATAATTTGTCATGATCACCAGCCACCATTGTTGGGATATATTCCTATTTCAAAACTATATTGACGAAAAATATTTGAACTTACTCCACGTATTCCATACTCAATGTCAGGTTAATTCATATTGCATGTCAAGTTTCAGTGAAGATGTAGAATATATGGGCAAATCCTACCAGTAGGCTGAATTGACAATTCAGTGACAACAAAAGGTCATAACATCATGAACACATTGATATTGTGTAATACATGCAGGACATTTGTAATGGTAAAAAAACACATTAATCATGTTAATAGGTCATTTTCAGAAGCAGTGGGTCACTACATTTATGTGTTAATGCCAAGCATGGTTCATGTACATGATGTTATAACCATGAATAGATATACATTCAGGTTCCAAATGTTATTACTGCAGGGAATAAAGATTGACAATGAATATTAATACAGCACATAACATTTTTTACAACAAATCACTTAAATTCAGTGTATATACAAATGAAATTAAAGATCTGTTTCTCATATCCCAGCTATCCAAACACATCAATATCTGACTCAACTCCACCAAAACGTCAGATCAAGGCAAAGAAATTTGACCAGTATAATGTCAGTAATATTGTTGAGAGACAATCAACAAACCACTATACTATACTCCTATTATATACAGACAGTATTGGTCGGAAACCAACTGGACAGTCTGTGGGTTTATATCAGCCCTCCAGGCCCGTTAATGATGAACTTCATAACCAGGAGAGGTACACAGCATGGTACTCTTACCATGTTTATACATACAGATAGATGAATCAGAACTTATTCTGTAAAACAAGAAACTTCAGCTGAATACAAAATCTTTTGACCTCAAGAGCCAGATAACTTAACTCCAGTTAGGCCACCCACTACAAAAGTTGTTTCAGGTAACAGAACCAAGACGGTATGTCGGTAGGTAGTAAAATATTCGTTTCATAACAAATGTTATATTTGGGATAACACTTTCTTAATAATGTACAGATTCTGGTACTTTTTGGGGTTGAGGCACCTAACTAATCACCAGCACACAAAGTTTGTTTTAATTATTTTAAAAAATTCAATAACATTCTTCCATGTCACTTAAATGGTTGTCAAGCTTTCTTCTGTTGAAAGGTAATCTATGATGTCATGTCATGTATATTCACACAGAAGGATATTTTCAACAAATATATATTCAATTTATTCTTTTTTCTGTTATTATGAATTATAGCTAAAATGGAAAGAATTATTATTAAACAGCCTGCATGTTATCAGAAATGAGCGGGCCACTGTAACTTGATAATGCCCTCATATTGCTTTACGACAGGCCATTGTTAGGCGACGTCATAGGGATAGGGATAGGTGACGTCATGTTCAATAATGCCGTCATCTGGTTTGTTCTATGACATTTCCATATTTTGTAAAGGTGGGTCAGTGACATACGTGTTGATTGCAGTAAATGTTTCAAAACCAATATTGTTGTTTCTTTTTATTTGATAAGAAATTCCATCAATGTTTTAGCTATCATAACGGTAACACCATTTTTCAGGTCATTATCATTTGCAGAAGCCCTCGGTCTTTTCAACTGCCCTCCCTCGTCAGGCAGTTAATGGAAGACCTCAGGCTTCTGCAAATGATAATGCCCTGAAAAATAGCATTACCCTTATAATAATTCAAATGATACTAAAGAGAACCATAGAATGTTGAATTTAATAGAGTCAGTAGATTGCAAACAAAAACCTCAGTTATTGTGCATTGGTAGAACATCAATATTTAATATATTTAGTTCTGAATGACAATAGGAATGAATTTATTATCATATCAAACTCGACAAACACATTTCAGTTGGTTTATTTATTCCACAAGAATTTCATTGGCAATTAGTATCATTACATCATGACTTTATCCATATATCTGTTCTTATCATCAACAATCCTCAGCATCAAGTGTTTGCAGATAACTTGGATGTTTCTCTTCATGTTTTCACTTTGTTTTATTTAGACTTACAGCCAAAGGAATTGCGGTCCTCTACAAATTGTGCAGGTATAGCAATGAGAATGGTCTTCAGCAACCTATGCTTGCCTAAAAGCGATTCTGCTTGTTGTAAGAGGTGACTTACGAGATGTGCTTGTCAGGTTCGCTGACTTGGTTATTGTATGTCATTGAATCCAATTGCGTAGATTGATGTCAATCACTGGATTATTTACAGACCACGTTAAACATACAACAATACAGTCAGAACCCTATATTATCCCCATTTGCCCATCATTAATGGTTTCATTTTCTCATAATTGAAAGAGTTGACATGTCTGGCACATTGAGCAATAGTAAAACTTGAGCTTAGGGTAAACTAAAATTGTTCAAGGTTAAAATGCAAGGATCACAAATAATAGTAATAGATTTTTCTTACATCATTATGTAGCCAGTATAATGTACAATATGATAGCCAAGAAAAAAGTGGGAAAACGTAAACTTAGCGCTGTTGCGCTAAATTAAAAGTACATATTTTGAGGTATGTATTTACAACAACCCAAATGAATCTTAAAAGCACTAACAGGGAGGCTTGTCTTAAATAGCATGGCCGGCTAGTCCTGCAAGCTGACAGGTCATTACCACTAGCCGGGTTCAGAATATATTTGATCGTTTCATCAGTTGTAGGTTTGTTTGTTGTTTAATGCCATACTCAGCAATATTCCAGCTATATGACAGAACACGGATAAATAATGTTGTGATGATGTCATGAGTATCGATCCACGTAATTGGGATACGATGACATGCATCAACTAAGTCAATGAGCCTGACCACCTCATCCTATCAGTTGCTGTTACAGCAAGCATGGGTTGCTGAAGACCTATTCTAACCCGGATCTTCACTGGTGAGTTGTTGGTAGACCTGTGTTGTTAATGTAATACCGGTATAGATTCCATGTAGCCAGTTTGTGCTAATTCACCAGAACGGTATTTGTCTTACCTACTGTCACTCACCTCACAATAACATGCAACTGCAGCAGTGTTCGAAATAAGTACCTGTCCGTAGGGGTGAAACCGCATTATCAGTGGTTCATATTTGGAAAGGGAGGTCACTCTAATTTCAATCAGGAGCTATTTCCGTTGTTTTCGTATTTATTATAGTCAGGCTGAACGTTGGCGTTGGTCCAATTATTAATTGGCCATCAAATCCCAAAGGTAAACCATATTCTTAATCAAATGTTTGGAGACAACATATATTTTTCTTCCCATCCTAACTTACAGAAAACGGTCTTTGGCAATGTGAATTAATAACTTGTAAATATTTGTTTTCAACAAATGTGGGCCCACTTTATTTAGAGATGACTGCAGGTGGGCCCACATTTTAGAAAGTCAATAGTTGTCACATGTTGAGTGTAAAATGTTCATCACCTTTGGTTGGTTTAGTGATGGTAGCAATATGCTATACTGAACAACAGATGTTCCTGTGACACTGAATAAGATTTAATGCAAAGTTATATTTTTTACCAAAAGTAAAAACCTTTTTCGGTTTGCAACAGATAAAAGACTCCTGTAAGTGTGCAAATGGTTCAATTTGCCATACTGACTTCAGAAAATGTGTGATTTCATAAAAAACATGAACATGCCAAAATGTCAATTTACAAATAAATAGCATGTGTGTCCACCTCTGGTTGCGATGCAAGCAACACATCTTCGTCTCATGGAATGGACCAGGCGTCGCAGTCCCGTTGTCATGTTGAAAGGTAATGCCTAGGCCATGACGACACAAAAACGGTAGAAGAACAGGGTTCATATTTGGAAAGGGAAAGGGAGGTCTGTCCATATCTGTCCATATCTGCTGGAGCATGTTTCGAAGTTCCTGGAGTGTCTGTGGAACACGTGGTTGACGTCGAAGGCGCCGATCCATCTCATCCCACATGTGCTCGATTGGTAAGAGATCAGGGGAGCAAGCCGGCCAGGGGATGACAATCACGTTGTTTTGTTCAAGAAAATCCTGAACAAGTCGAGCAATATGAGGCCGGGCGTTGTCATGTTGAAAGGTAATGCCTAGGCCATGACGACACAAAAACGGTAGAAGAACAGGGTTCATATTTGGAAAGGGAAAGGGAGGTCTGTCCATATCTGCTGGAGCATGTTTCGAAGTTCCTGGAGTGTCTGTGGAACACGTGGTTGACGTCGAAGGCGCCGATCCATCTCATCCCACATGTGCTCGATTGGTAAGAGATCAGGGGAGCAAGCCGGCCAGGGGATGACAATCACGTTGTTTTGTTCAAGAAAATCCTGAACAAGTCGAGCAATATGAGGCTGGGCGTTGTCATGTTGAAAGGTAATGCCTAGGCCATGACGACACAAAAACGGTAGAAGAACAGGGTTCATATTTGGAAAGGGAAAGGGAGGTCTGTCCATATCTGTCCATATCTGCTGGAGCATGTTTCGAAGTTCCTGGAGTGTCTGTGGAACACGTGGTTGACGTCGAAGGCGCCGATCCATCTCATCCCACATGTGCTCGATTGGTAAGAGATCAGGGGAGCAAGCCGGCCAGGGGATGACAATCACGTTGTTTTGTTCAAGAAAATCCTGAACAAGTCGAGCAATATGAGGCCGGGCGTTGTCATGTTGAAAGGTAATGCCTAGGCCATGACGACACAAAAACGGTAGAAGAACAGGGTTCATATTTGGAAAGGGAAAGGGAGGTCTGTCCATATCTGCTGGAGCATGTTTCGAAGTTCCTGGAGTGTCTGTGGAACACGTGGTTGACGTCGAAGGCGCCGATCCATCTCATCCCACATGTGCTCGATTGGTAAGAGATCAGGGG